AAATTCCTAAAAGGCTACTGGCCCTTACATTCTCATAGTTCTCCAAGGCCTGTGCATTTATTCATTCAACACATATTTGATGAATGATTCTTACTGTGGCTTACAAAGTCCTATGTCACCTGGCTCCTAACCATCTCTTTGACATCATCTTCTGTGACTCTCTCTCTCTGAATCACTGACCTTTGCTAGTCACCTTCATTTTTTTTCTGTTTTTTTTCCCCTTAAATTTCCTTTCCATGTCAGGGTTTTGCAGTTTCTTTGGCTACAATATCTTCCCCTTGATTTTCTGTGGCTTCCTCTTTCTTTTCATTCAAGTTTAAGTTTGAAGTTCTCCTTTTTTTTGAGAATCCTGTTCTGAATACTCAATTCGAGGTATCATCTCCATCACATCTTCCAATCTCAGTTTTCTGCTTGATATGCCTCACTTTTTCATAATTTCCCTTTTTCCTTCTTTCCTTCCTCTCTCCCTCCTTCCCTTCCTTCTTTTCTTCCTTACATCTTTTCAACTTGCTTATTTATTAATTGATTGTCTTTGTTCGCTAAAATGTAAGCTTCATAATAACAAGCACCTTTTTGATTTTGTTCACTGCTGTATTCCTGTTGTATAGTAAATATGTTTTGAATGAATAAATGAATGAATATGAGTCTAGCACTCAGATGAATGTTGGGAATAAAGAGGGATAAATTCAGACAAAGTTATTGTCTTCGAGTATTTTACAATTTTTGCTGAATGAATGATTAATGTGTAAATGACAAAGCAAAACGAACAAAAACTTAAACAAAATAAAACAAAAAACCGACCAACAAATCAAACAGCAAAAACAAAACAGACTGAATTGTGTGTAGCCCATCTGAAGTACTTAAGCCTCAGCTTTCTCTGTGAAATAGGAATAAAAATACCTAGTTTGCATGTCTGCCATGAGGATTAAGTGAGGCAGTGAATGGACAGCAGCATATCATCCCTAGAATATCATACCTGGAATTCAGCAGGTGCTCCAAGAATGGTATTCTTTACTTCCCTGCCTCATCTCCCTCCTGATATGTGAAATAAAGTATATTAAGAAGTTCATATTAGTCTCCCATCTGAACCACATCAGAGAATTGAACTCCAATTCCAAGTGTGACTCCTAGTTTTAAACCCAGTTATGAAAATCTCTCTATGCCAGGTTCTCCAGAGCGTTAACAGTGGAGGTGGAACTGATTATAGCTCATTTGTGCGGCATGCACTTTGATTCTTTCAAAGCCTTTGTGTGACCTGGGAAGTCTTGTTAGTTGCTGTCCCAGCACAGTGTGGTGGGGAACTATGTGATAATTGGCTAAAAGCCACTGGAAAAGCATAAAGAGTCTGGAAATGCCACAGACAGGGCTGGTCTTTTGCAGAAGTGCAGTTGACAATGGCTGGTGTTTTCTGAAACACCACCATTGAAGAGTCAGTCCTTTAGGTTATATCATTGCTAGATTAAAAAAAAAAAAAACTTTAGTAGTGATTTGTATGTTAATACAAGTTTGATGAATAGCAGTGTTTAGTTCTAGACCCTTAAGTAGATCTTGTTCAGCCCTGATGTTCAAGACCATTGTAATATTCTATGAGCAGAACCCTGACATGACTATAATAAGGTTAAGTGAATCCGTATATTGGTATATTTCTTTCTGAGGCTGGGTGGCTATGTCTAGTGAAGAGGTCCCACAAAAGCCCTGGAGAAGGGACAAGTTTAGCCACTGGAAGGGGCAAGGTCAAGGGCAGTTACACAACAGAGCTCCCAAAGTAAACCCATCTCTGTTTCTAATCTATTTCCCTCCACCCTCCACCTACACGGATGTGCCCTTTAAATATTGATTTGCCCACCTTTGCGGTATGTGGTAGACTTTGTCTCAGAAGTCAGCTTGATCCCTTTGAAAGTGTTTACTAATTAAATCAGACCAGGAGGTTAGGCAACTTCAGATATATTTATCCTGTGTATCCCTGAACCCAGGACTCATAAACAGCCCCAGAGAGGTCAGGCACAGTTTTCCTGCTTACTTTCTTTATTGGAGGATGTCCTAACCATTGCCCAATTAAGCTGAATGACACTGCTTCTTTTTCTACCATTAGCTCCTGATGTATTTCTAAGACAGATGTCAGAATGGCTGCAGCTAGAACGCTAAATGCTCTTAACAATCATGGTTACGGACCAGTTTCCCACACAGCCGTATGAAATTCTCACTCAGTGACATAGCATTTGGGCCACAGACACTGACTCAAATACAATTTTGGCTTGGAAGGAAAAGTGCTGCTATAGTAATTCACAGGTCATTTCCTTCTGATATTTTACAATAATATATGTTTTGGGAGAATCTGTGCACATGCATGGATGTATGTGTCTGAGTGTATGTGAGTAGGACCTGTGTGTATGCTTTTGTATACATCTTTAGCTAGGAGAGCTTTCAGAAGAGGCAAAACACAAAGTGAGAGGGAGAACTCCATTGTATTGGGTCTTAGGACAGCCTCTGCCTCAGTACAACTCCATGGTCTTGAGTTCTAGCTTATTTCATTCTCTTTATCTGCTTTGGTCATTTTCACTGGTCTGATAGAGAGTGAGAAATAGCTGATCATGATTATAGGAAATGCCTATTCTTGGTCTCAGGGAATCCCCTTAAGGATTCTTGTCTTAAAGGTCTTAATTAGTTCCAAGAGCAAGGCCAAGCACTTTTCATTTCTGGAGCAGTGGGATGAAGCACTTGGGGATGACTGAAAGCACACTGAGAATCCTGCAGTTATCACTGTAACAAAGTTGTGGGTTCTCACTGGGCTTTGCTAGGCATGGCCCTCCTCTCATGGACAGAGTTTGGAGCATTCTACTTTCTGCATCTATGGGTCGTCGTTCACAGGGCTGCCATGTCCATAATCCACGGTCTCTTAGTATTTTTACCATAAAGCTCAGAGCACCTTAACTCTATAATCTCAACCCCTAGCTCTGTTCCTGTCAGCATAGAATAAATAGCTAGTAGTGGTGTTTCTGTTTAAAGGGCCTGTACTTTTTAAGGTTTTGATGAATACTGCCTAATTATTCTTCACAACGGCTTTACCAAGTTCCTTTCCCAATAATCTATGGCAATAATTTCAATCTTCCCCACCCCCTCCCTTTTATTTTCACTTCTGGTTACACATAAAAAAGAAAAAGCTTTGTATGATGAACTTGGCTAAAGAGAAGGATGACATCTTTGGGAACTTGAGTCGCTTGTAGGAATGAGAGCAAAATCCTGCATAACCATGATTCATCAATGATCACCATTACGCTGCTCCATTCTGTCTGGCTGCACTAGTCTATAATGGTTGTTTTTTTTTTTTTTTTTTTTGAAACAGGGTTTCCCTCTTGTTTACTAGGCTGGAGTGCAGTGGCATAATCTTGGCTCACCACAGCCTCCACCTTGTGGGTTCAAGCTATTCTCCTGCTTCAGCCTCCCAATTAACTGGGATTACAGGTGCCCACCACCACACCCAGATAATTTTTGTATTTTTAGTAGAAATGGGGTTTCACCATGTTGGCCAGGCTGGTCTCGAGCTCCTGACCTCAGGTGACCCACCAGCCTTGGCTTCCCAAAGTGCTGGGATTACAGGTGTGAGCCAGCATGCCTGGCTATCATAGTTTGTATGCATCCTATTCACCCTGGGTTTTTGTTTCAGAAGAAGGCTTTTTTTCTTCTTTCTTTTCTTTTCTTTTTTTTTTTTAGAGGAGCAAGGTTGAATGGTGGGTTAGCAGAGGACTGAAGAAAAGGCAGTCAGTGCTGCAGGTGAAGAGATATGAACTTCAGTAGTGCCCTGTAGAGATGCAACCAGCTGTTGGGGCTTAAAGCTCAAGCACATTTCTTAGGTGATAATTTCCAAGAAGTAGGTAGTTTTGGCTGAGACGGCCTCTGGACTACCCCAGCTTGTCAGTGGAACTCAGTGGCCCTGAATGAATCATAATGAAGAAGCATTACTTGTGGGATGTGGCCAGCCATTCTGTTCAGCTTTTATTGCAGAGCTGATGGCAGCAGCTGGACTCTATGAAGGCGACGGTGGCTCAAAGCCTTTCTGCTCCACTGTGTCCCATAAAGATTTTATGAAGCTTCAGTCATCTCTTCAGCAGATCCTGTGTCATGAATAAGGATGCGGAAAGCACAAGGAACACCTTCTCCCAGGTTTCTAAACCTTCCAGAGAGGGGAAATTAGTGTTCTTGGCCCTGGCTAAGAAACCAGATTGCTGAAGCTATGGGACTTGTTCCAAACTGCAAGATCTTGTTCGATGGGAATGATTGTAGCTTTAGGTAACTCTAGGGCTTATTGACTTGGGTGAGAGTTCCCTAGCATCTGCTGGAATGTGACGATTGTATGATGCAGGGAGGAGAAATGGAAAAGGTGGGCCTTTATTGACCCAACAGGGCCTTGTAAAAAAGCACCAACTACATACATGCAGTCTGTGCATTTCAAAAGCAACAAACAAACAAACAAAATCAATTTACTGACTCTCTTGAGAGAAAATGGATTATCGTTCACTGCAAATTCTCCCAGGTAAGCAGGAGGGTGCTATACCTGTGTAGAGAGAAAAGTTTTACATACACTCAACTATGAGTCCTCACTGTAATACAGTCCCATCATGTATTTGTGGAGATATCTACCTTGGAGGCTTCCTAGGATTGAATCTTTCTCATCTTTCCTTCTCTTTTCTTCCTCAAGTCTTGTGACATGTGGTAATAATCAAAAAACAAAACAAAAAAAAAAACCAAAATAAAAATGGTCTTAGAATAAATTTACTTGGAATCAAGTCATTGTGAAATGTCTGGCTTCTTTGACCCTCAGTATTCCTGTCTGCAAACTAGGAATAATAAGACCTGTGTTTCTCCATTGACCATTAGTAAATTGAGCTTCAATTATCTAGTTAGAGAAACAGTGAAATATTATTGCCAAAGTTTAACACACATTTTAATTTTTTTACTTTCTGCTTTTAAAAATATGCTTCTCATTTTCTTCCCCTGACTAGATCTTTGACTGCCAGAAAGATGTATAAGCATCTTGAGCTCTACTGGTAAGTTATGAGTTCTCGAATTTAGAGGTTATTAGAAAAATTTCCCCTGTTTTCATGTAAATTACCACTCAGGAAATAATGGTGAAGTATAATCTTTTTTTTTTCCTTTCACAGTACCTTTTTCATTGCTTCCAAACTTTTCATACCTTTTCTACATCAACCAACACCATCCTATACCATCCAGACTGCCACTGCAATACACTCTTAACCCTTTCCATGCCAGCACATTCTATACATAGCATTCATTCACTCATTTGCTCACTTAGCAAACATACCTGGTAGAGCCCAAACATTGCAGTAGGTACTAGACATATGAACAAGTTCAAATATTTTCTTCAGATTCCTATCACCTGTCATATAAATGTCAAGGCCCTTTGCCTATGATTCAAAAATCTCTGCATTTACTTGTTTCAACCTGCTTTTATACCCTTAAACTTTTTCTCCCCTTTTTCTTCTTTTCTTTAAGAAACAAGTTCTTGCAATGTTACCCAGGATAGATTTTAACTCTTAGGCTCAAGGGATCTTTCTGCCTCAGTCTCCTGGTTAGCAGGAACTGTAGGTGCATGCCACATACCCAGCTCAACCTGCTTTTTAATTCTTTCTCTTACTACATGGTATTATGAACTCTAAGCTCCAGGTCAGCCAGTCTTCTCTTGTGTCTGTGCCTTCACTTTAGCAGTCCTCTTCCAGGTGTGCCCCCCATCATGATTTCACTTGTTCAAACCTAATATTCAGTGGGGGTTCCTGGTGTTGCTGCTTTTGTGAAACTCTCCTGACTATCCCTCCAAAGGACCCTTGTTGCTTAATATCTGAAAGTATATAATTCAAACTGCTAGTTATCTTTTAAGCATATAGGAAAAACAACATGATTTCAAGGTAGTTAAATGAAAAGAGAGAAAGATATTGACTTATATGTTCTCTTACCCTCCATAGAATCTAATACAATCTTACTCAACAAATACTTGCCTATTTATTGTTGAAGCCATATAATAATACATAAAAATGGAAAGTGATGTGTTGTCGGGGTTATTCCAGTAGTATATTGCTTTCCTCTTATTTATTTATTTTTTTGGATGACCTAAGACACCAACTTGGTTCAAACTCTTCTCAAAAATGATCTTTCCAACTTGGCTCCTGTGGAGCCATCATCCTTCTTCTGTGCTTGCTACAGAAATACAGGATTGCCTTCTCTAGTCTGGGGAGCACAGTAACAGGTAGCGGAAAGAGCTGCAGCTTTGCACAGAAAACTAGATCTGAGTTCTAATCCTCCTTGCAAATTGTTTGACTCTAGAAATATCTTGCCTTTCTGAACTTCAAGTTCCTCTTCTATAAAGCAGAATCAACAAAACCCATTATAGGGCTGTTGTGAAAATAAAATATGATACTATATGAATATAGTACCTATTTTGCTCACTACACAGTAGGTGAATCACTAAATCATAGCTATTATTTATATGAACCATGGATGCTATAGTGTTCTGTATCTTCTAGGGCTCTGGAAGAACCACTAAACTTACAGGGATGCATACCAGCCTGCTGCGTAGTGGGCTCTTGTAGACTTTAATTTTGGGAGCTGTCCAGCATGCAGACTCCTTCCTGGTTGGTACAGAGCCTCTTTTTTGTGGTATTGTTAGAGAATAGTGGCCTCTACTTATCACAGATGTCAGAGACTTTAAATCCTCCCTCTCTTCATCTCTAGGTTGATAGAGTTTAGCAAATACCCAGAGTTTGGCCCATTATATTCCTCAGCCACCTTGCCTCTGGGTTTTGAATCCTGACTGTGTGACTTGCTTCTGGGATTTTGAAGCCTGAACCTATGTCCCAAAGCTAAATACGCACATAAAATTTATTCACAGTACAGGCAGCTGCAGAATGGTATTCAGCGATTTTCTTCCTTCTTCCTACAAGATTATTGTTGAGCTTCCTCTTCTTTTATCATCCAGACTGCTATATAGGGTTCTTGTTTTCTAAGTCTTCTGTTGCTGTGAATATCTGATAAACTTCCAGTAAGTCACCAACCCCTCTTTCCCAATTTTTTTTTGCATATGTAACTTGAAACCAAGAACTCAGAGTGACATACTACATGTCGCAGACACTTCATTCAATGAAAAAGGATCCATGATGCATTGGCCTCCCTTTGATCTTGTCCCTGTGACTGGCTGCAAGGGTAGGTGAGGTCTTCTGCTGTCATTTTTTTGTGTGTGTGTCCTAGTTTCCATTGTTTTTAAGGAACCCTAGAGCCAGAAAGACTGTTGAGGTGCCCTCTAGCTAAACCATTGGCTTTCGAGCCAGCTCCTGTCTATTTTCACAGGATGACATTTCTCACCTTGAATTGTTCACATGTTCCAGTTTTTCCCCTCCTTTTTTAGAAGAATGGCTCAGCCAATGAAATTCTGGCACCTTCTCTTTCAACACCTGAACAAGTTATCAGGAGATAAAGACTCTCATGTAAACTTTGCTGTCAATAGTCTTTGTGTAAGCCGGTTCATCTCTTTGTCCTTCAGTCTTCTCACCTATAAACTAGGCTAGGTACCAGCAGAGGGTCATTTTGAGGGGGAAATTTTAAAAAATTGTCATGGTAGACTGGAAGTAATAAGCAGATGGCACCCTGAATATTTTTCACAGAGCAATGATAATAAATGGTAACAACATTAGGAAAGAGTGGGTGACTTTTGGGTTTGGATATTAGCCATAGAGAATTGTGCGTTGAGTGGCAGTGATGGGCTGGGGGCTGGACAAAAGCTACGGTTTTTCTTAATCAGGTAGTGACCTCTTCTGGGGAAAGAAATAGTCTAGCAGGGCCTCAGCATTAGGAGACACGTACAACGTTTGTACCAAGGCAACCAATGATAGAGAGGATGGTCCCCAGAGGGAAAACCTCTCTGGTTAGTTGTTTGCCCTGGGCAGCCAGGTGGAAAACAAAAATAAATGAACTGAAACTAAAAATCACTTTCCGGGTAGCCTTACCCAAAAGAGCCTTACCCTCATTGAAACAGAGCTTATGAAACCTTGTGGGCCTGTATATGCATTGTCGTGAAGCTACTGTCCGTGCAAGCTGGCCAGATCCAAGAACCCAAGGTTGGTTTTTAGGGAGAATGGTTCAAAAAATGTCCAGATGGGATATGTATGTGTGTGCATTCCTAACTGGAGGGGAAAAGAAGGACTCTTTCAGACAGGCAAGGCAAGATTCAGGTGGATGGTGATACATCGAAGAGGGAGCAGCTTTTGCTCAATGGTCCTTTAGGGGGTAGAAAAGGCTCAGGTTCCTACTGTAGTCTTGTCAATTAAACCAGAGTAGTACAAACCGTAAAAGATTTTTTTTTTTCTCTACCACACACCACTGTATTCATCTGCTACTTAAAGGTCTTGGAAGGAGGAAGAAAGAAAACCTCCAGGAAGTCTTCTTGGTGACTTCAGCAACAATTGTATTCCCCTTTTCTTGCTACCTACAGGACTTAAATTGTGCTAGAGAATGGAACATGAAATCAGACAGGTTCTGTCTTGAAGAGTGCTGCATGACATTACCGAAGATACAAGCTATTGCTTCCACTTAGACCCATGGGCAGCAAGGTGCAGGGCTGATGAAAACCATATTGTCTTATCTATTTTTGAGTAGCATGAAAAGAATGGGTGTCAGAGGTGAAGGGACTTGCTCAAGGCCAACTCAGAAACATATGGGCATGGCTCTCATTAGAAATGGAACTTCTGACTGTCTTTTTTGTTTTGTTTTGTTTTCTGTTAGCAGTTATTCCTCTTCCACCTTTCTCCAGCCCCGCACTGCATTTTTTTTATTGCATTTTAGGTTTTGGGATATATGTGAAGAACATGCAAGATTGTTGCATAGGTACCCACATGCAGTGTGATTTGCTGCCTTCCTCCCCATCACCTATATCTGGCATTTCTCCCCATGCTATCTCTCCCCAACTCCCCACCCCCCGCTGTCCCTCCCCTATTTCCCCCTGACAGACCCCAGGGTGTGATGCTCCCCTCCCTGTGTCCATGTGTTCTCATTGTTTAACACCCGCCTATGAGTGAAAACATGTGGTGCTTTTCTGTTCTTGTGTCAGTTTGCTGAGCATATTAAATCAATTAGTCACCTTCTCTTAATATTACCTGCATATTAGATTGATTAATAATAGGGTAGCTACAATTTAAGCAACTACCACTGGATAGTCTCTGTCCATTCATGCATTCAACAAATATTTATTGGGTGCCTACCTTGGGCTAGGCACTGGAGATACAATAGCAAGCAAAAATGACAAACTCAGCCATTGTCAAAAATGTCATCAACAAAGATATAATGATGTAGTAAGGGGTTATGATGGTAAGGGTGTGGTTATTATTCCAGGGAGAGCTTCCTGAAGGAAGTGAAAATTCTCTTCATGTGTAGCTCAGGCCTAAAAATCTCAGTGTCATCCTTGACTTCTCTCATTTTCTTACACCCTATATCCTATCCATCAGCAAATCTGATTGGTTCTGAATTTGAAATATTCAGAACCCGCCTGCTCCTTACCACCTCTGCTGCCATCCTCCTTTGCACAAACACTTTTCGTCTCTTTTCTGTATTGCTGGGATATGGTGTCTCTGCTTTCACTCTTGTCTCCTCATGCTCAAATGTATTTTGACAATACTAGGTCAAAATAAATTTCCAAGTCTTATACTGCTGCAGGACTTCTCAGAGGCTTTCATATGCTAACTAAGGTACTGACTTTCCAAGAAATGGGTGCAGTATACAGCATATTATAGTCATTTGACCATAGGACTCTTTTCCTATAGTGCATTTCACACAACTGCTGTTCCATGGAAGCCATTCTGGAAAACACAGAAAATATTTAAGCAAATATTAATACATCACATGAAGTGTTATTATTCCACAGGAGAACACGATGGGACATGGAACCACCTACAACAGTTTCATAGAACAGGGGGTCAGGTTTACTGAGTTCTAGCTGTGGTTACCTTTTCCTGACCTGTGCAGCGTTCAAGTTATTTAATGTTTCTTGGTTTCCTCATCTGTGAAACATAAACAATAATTCCTGTACTGTCTACTTTACCAGGCTATTGGAAGAATCAAATCAAATAAAAAATGTTAAAGTAAGAGCATCCGTTTCCCTCCACTACACCAAACATGAACTAAATCCAACACCATTACTGTGCTAGTGTGGACACTTAGAAAATCATTAGTATTTTCAGTTACACGATCTCTGCACTTAATCATTGAGAACAAATTAACATTTGCTTTATTTATTTAAGCAACCAGGAGTAAAACCCAAAGAGTTGCTGGCTGTTGGCTGGAAATCAAACAAAGAATTAATTGGAGCTAAGGCTGTGGAGAGTGCCAGTCTGTGACATTCACGGAAGAAAGCAAGAAAAGTCTGGAGTGGCCTGGACTGCATAGCAGAAAGAAAAATCCCTGCAGGGACTGTGTGAAAAAGACTAGAGAGGTAAGAGAACCTGAAAATACAGCACTGCAGATAGAAAGCTGTAAAACTAGAATGACACTAACAAAGACTTTCTTATTACCTTAGCTGATAGTGGTGGCATAATGGCCCACACAGAATCATTGAATAGCATCAGCCATGGTAATTCAGGGAAAGCCAGTGGGGCAATTTGGAAACTCTAAGCTGGCAAAGTTCTGTGGTTTTTGTAAAGTGCCTATCCAGAGTACATGGTCCATTCATGCCAGGTCAGCAAGAAGCAGCTGCTGATGTGATGATGATTTCCCTTTTGGGCTAAACCTCAACAAAGTTCCCTTTTTCTCTAGTGCTTTTGGCTGTGACTGATGAAGTTGCCTTAGGCTCAGGATTCTGACACCCCGCAAAAGCAAAAATTGACAAATGGGATCTCATTAAACTTAAAAGCTTCTGCACAGTAAAAGAAACTATCAACAGAGTAAACAGACAACCTACAGAACACGAGAAAATATTTGTATACTATGTATCCAACAAAGGTCTAGTATCCAGTATCTTCAAGGAATTTAAACAAATCTTTGAGAAAAAAACAAACAACCTCATTAAAAAAATGGGCAAAGGACATGAACAGACACTTCAAAAGAAAACATATGAAGCCAACAAGCTTATGAAAAAAAAGCTCAATATCACTGATCATTAGAGAAATGTAAATCAAAGCCACAATGAGATACCATCTTACACCAGTCAGAATGGCTATTATTTAAAAAGTATAAAAATGGCCGGGTGCAGTGGCTCAGGCCTGTAATCCCAGCACTTTGGGAGGCTGAAGCAGGCAGATCATGAGTTCAAGAGATCGAGACCTTCCTGGCCAACATGGTGAAACCCTGTCTCTACTAAAAAATACAAAAATTAGTTGGGAGTGGTGGCATGTGCCTGTAGTCCCAGTTACCTGGGAGGCTGAGGCAGGACAATTGCTTGAACCCAGGAGGCAGAGATTGCAGTGAGCCGAGATTGTGCCACTGCACTCCAGCCTGGTGCCTGGTGACAGAGTAAGATTCTGTCTCAAAAGAAAAAAAAAAAGTATAAAAATAACCGACGATGGCAAAGTTGCAGAGAAAAAAGAATTATACACTGTCAGTGGAAGTGCGAATTAGTTCAATCATTGTGGAAGCAGTGTGGTGATTCCTCAAAGATCAAAACACAGAACTATCATTTAGCTCAGCAATCCCATTACTAGGTATATACCCAAAGGAATAGAAATCATTCTGCCATGAAGACACACACTCGCATATGTTCATTGCAACACTATTCATAATAGCAAAGACATGGAATCAAACTAGGTGCCCACTAATGGTAGGCTGGATAATGACAATGTTGTACATATACCCCATGGAATACTATGTGGCCATAAAAAGAATGAGATCATGTCCTTTGCAGGATCACAGAAGGAGGTGGCAGCCGTCATCAGCAAACTAACGCAAGAAGAGAAAATCAAATACGGCGTGTTCTCACTTGTAAGTGGGACCTAAGTGATGAGAACACATGGACGCAAATGGGAACAACAGCCAGTGGGGCCACTTGAGGGTGGAAGGTGGGAGGAGGGAGAGGATTAGAAGAAACAACTATTGAGTACTATGCTTGGTACCTGGATGATGAAATAATCTGTACAACAAACCCCGTGACAAGAGTTTGCCTATATAACAAACTTGCACATGTTCCCTTGAACCTAAAGTAAAAGTTGAAAAAAATAAATAAAAATAAAAGATTCTGATGCCTCAGACTAACTTACACTCAGTAAACACATTCTGATGTATTTGTGGGCCAAAGGTCCTAACGGAGTTGGTGATGATTATGATGATGATGATCATCATCATCGTATTGATAATGGTAATGGTAATAAAAAACAGCTTTCATATGGAGTCAGGTTTACTGAGAGTACATGAGATACAATGCTCTTTCAGAGGGACAAAGCAAGATTCGGAGGATGGTGAGGGAGAGGTCTAGAGGAGCAAGCTACTTTTGCCCAATGGTCATGCAGCAGCTTAAAAACCATACTACCATTCACCATTCTGAATGGTAATTGTCTGGCCCTCGTGGACTAACAGGTCTTGGAGGGCAGGGAGCATGTCTCATTCATTGTTATATCTCTAGTACCTGGTGTATAAAAAGTCTCAGAAAACAAACATTGATTGACTGAAGGAATAAATAAACATACGAATAGCTGTTTAATGTAGCCGATTAAAAGGAATTAGGTAAAATGTTTTCCATTACTTGTTTTCTGATTTGTGAAGAGTCATTATTTCTTCTGACAGTAAAAAAAAAATTAAAAAGCAAGAGGTAGATATCTTTTTAAAGTTTTGTCCTTCCATACTCATACATTGACCAATACAAATTAAACTACTGAAGGAGACAGAGCCAGTGTTTCCTGGCCAAATACTCTGCAATTAATTATTTCTATCATCTAGAATATGATTTGATTGGGTATTGATACAAGAGGGCAGAGCCTATGGTATATTCTCCGTTACATTCTGAACAGCTAAGAACTGTGCCTGCCACCCCACCCAGTAAGCACTCAATATTTTTAAAATAAATAAAGAAATGACTGCTAAATGTTCTTTCATTTTTGTTTTAAGCCCATTTATAAGGAAGTTTAAATCCAAAGCACTTTTTCCACCTACCCCTGGACCTTAACATTGAGCCTAGTGTCACAGGCAAGAACCCAACAGAACTAAAAGGTTTTTGTTTGTACAACGCTATTTGCCAGGATTACTAAGCAAACAGGAGAAATGGAACAAAATGATAAAAACAATTTGTGGTGCTTTCCTGTGGGATTTTTGGAGGTTTTTCAAAGCATGACTAGTGACTAATGTAATTGACTTTTGGAGGAGAAGGGGAAGAAAAATGGGCACCCAATTATGGACTTTGTCTCCTGTGAGGTTTGTGGTTCTGTCCAGTCTTTGCAAAACATCACTTTTTTAGAGTGGCCTGTAGCTGGGTACATAGGCCAATGGCATTCACTGGAAATACAGGGAGCCTGGACTTTCGCAGAAATGAGGGTTCATTATGTGACAGAATTCAGGTGGCAGCAGAGTCAAGGGACAGGGAGCAGTGGCTGAACTCAGGTGATCAGTGGTGGCACCTTGATTGCCTGGATTAGTAATAGACACAAACATTTGGGTAGCTGCTAGGTTTCTTACAACTAGAAGGACATAGCTCACAAAACAGGCTAACAGCTCATTCAGTTCGAGGTGAACATTATTGTTCCCATGTAGCAGCTGAGGAAACTGAGGCCTGGAAATTGCATTGAACTTGCTTGAGGTTACCCCACTAGGTTAATCAGGTCCAGATTTTGCATTTTCACTGTTGTGTCATGAGCTCTTTCATTACAGAAAAAAACTAAATAGCCTCAACTTTGGCCACTAGCCCAGAGATTGGGAATGATTCATAGTTATTCTCTAATTACTGGTTTACTCTGAAGCTTGCCTGCATCTCTGGGAAGCTCCTGGTATAGAGATACATTCAATAATTACAATAGTTTTTTTTTTTTTTTTTTTTTCCTGGGGGTTGTACAGTGAAGCCTAGCGAGAAAATGCAGGATAGTTGATCGCAGGGGCTTTAAAACCCCTGGAATTTTAACAACTCATAAATATTAAGCATTTGCTAAGGGCGAGGTAGAACTCTGAAGGCTCTATGTGAAGGAACTCCCCCAGTAGTTGCAATAACTTTGTGAGATATGCATTGTTATCATCTCCACTTAATGGTGATTGAGACTGAGGCTCAGAGAAATTGACCTGCCCAAGGTTACTCAGCTAGAAAGTGGAAGAGCTGAGCAGCAACTTCAGGTAGTTTGACCAATTCTTTTTGGCTGTGAAGGTGCCTGCTTAATAACAAAAAAACTATACTAGTGGTTCTTAAAATGGTGCTAGGACCAGCAGCATTGGCATCAATGGGTAAACTGGTAGAGATGCAAATTCTTGGCCTCACTCCAGACCTACTGAATCAGAAACTCTAGCAGTAGAGGCCAGAAATCTGAGTTTTAACAGCTTTTCAGTGGATGTTGATGCCCACTCAAGTTTGAGAACTGGACATACTAAATCACTGTGCTTTCTCAGAAGAAAGGACTTGTACAGAGTACTGACTGCACCAGACGAGCTTAGAGACTTGGGAAGATGTTCTTCCAAAAGATGCTATTACTTTGGGCTTTTGGACTATACATGAGAGAGTAGAGTGGAAGTAGAATCTGTTAAGAAAGAGTATGTGATGAGAGAAGGTAGTAGAAAGAGGTGACGTCACAACCACCTTCTGAGAATGTGATGTGTTTGTAGAACAAGTGTTGATTATCCACTAAGACTCACTGAGATCAAGTGACTCGGCCAAGGTCAGGTAATCAGTGACAAATGAATGCACTCAAACGCAGTCCCCTGACTCCTTAGAGAGTATGTGAAAGCTACATTTCCTCACTAGAGTAGGGTGAGGCATTAGCGGTTCAGTGAACCTCTGAATCATGAGAACCTCTCCTCATGATTTAGTAACTGTCACAACTTCTCCCGACTAGATGAGCTAGAATTGAAAGAAGAATGGAAAAGATAGGAATTTGGTGGTCCCAGGAAGGAGGGAAGACTAAGGGGAGAATTCAGAGAGAGGTGCTAAGGAGACAAGGATGTCTTTAAGTTACCGCTCTGGAACCCATGGCTGTCTCCTTACCTTGATCAGCATTGTCATCATTTATTGGGTTGCACATGCTCTAGCATGTTACCAACCAGAAAATACAACACAGGCGACCTTGACTTTAATTCACAACTTTGCTAGTGATCTCAAGCAGATTATTTCCTCATGTACAAAATGAAGATCATTAGAGTTCCAACCTCATGGGAATTGAGGGAGTTTTAAAAGAAAGAACGTAAGTAAAACCCCTAGTAGGTTGTCTTGCTCTTAATAAGTGCTGAATACACAGGCGCTGTGTTGTTGTTATTATCTTATCCAAAGGCTGGTTCACAGGGCAAGGCAGCCATGGACATAAAAGGATGCCTCAGTGAGTGAGGATGATGATTTAGCTGTTTGTGGACACATAAATCTCCCACTACTTGTCCATTGCCATTTTAATCTCTACTCCCTTATCCATCACCTCTGCCTTCTCAGATCCTCACTCAGAGAGAGTGGTCTTAAGAAAGGACCCCTTCAATCTCTTGTTCCTAGAGAGGTCATGGGTGCATCTCATTTATTTCACTGTATCACCCAACTCTGCATGCAGCATCCAGGGCATCAGGGCACCTGGACACCAGCTGCCAGGAGATGACAGGTAGACAGAGAGGAATGCTTTCAAAAAATGTCATCTGGACATTCCTTCCAATTGATTGCTTAGCAGATTCACGGCAAAACAAAGTTTTCTGGACCCTGTTACCTCCTTTGTTTACTTAAATGACACTAATATTTATTGATCAATTGCAATAGAACAAGTGTTATATGATACTTTAAAAATGTTTTTTCATTCAAATGTTGTGATGATATTTGTAAAGTGAGTATAATTATTTCCACTTTATAAATGAGGTAAATAGTAATGGATATTGGAATCAGGATTTAAATCACATTTCTGGCTCCAATTAAGTCTTTTATCAGTTAATGTCTTAAATGGCTGCTTCCTCCTAAAAAATGAATATCTTGATAAGGAGGCCCCTTGGCAAGGTACATGGAGGAAAGTTTTGTAGGGAAGGAGCCTGATTCCCCTGAATTAAAGACATCTTTCTGCTCACACTGGTATATAATTTGGATCCTCTCCATTCTCTGGCCATATCTTCGTGATTATGCCTTTTTACTTAGCCTTGTAAATGGACAATAACTCTACTCAGAGTCAAATTAAGGGGTGAGCTAGACAGGAAGTTGCCAGGGGATTGATTCTATAATAGGCTCTAATACATCACTGGAAATTTAATGACATGGAACAGTTTATTTATTAATATTCCATGCACAGAGAATTCTGCTTGGAAGAAATGTTTGATAAGACACTGAAGGTGGAAAGAGGTACAGGACAGTTATTTTCTAGGGATGGTGGATCAGGCCAGGGCCAGGATGGTATGCAAATCTGGGCCAGAGCAGAATCGTTTGAGAGGACAAAGGGGAGGCTGAGGTTGCTACCAACAAGCTACTTTCTCTGATTTTCCCACACATCACAGATGGCCAAACAGTTAAAAACATATTTTCTTGAAGGCGCACTGAATCATTCCCCTGTCCAGGGTGCTCCCACCCCTGAGTGAAGTCCTGATGCTGCTCAGAATGCTGCATAGGCCCTCATGCTCTCATATTCATTTCTCTTTTTCCTTCTCTTTCTCATTCTCTGGGTGTTGCTGTGCAGTGTTCCATTCTGATCTCCAGCTCTAGGTCATTTTCTATCACAGAACAACACCTGCAGCTTGGACAAGAACAACAGAATGTGTGATGGGCAATGGTGAGACCTGAGAGACAGAGACAGAGAAGGCTGGGTTCCAGGACATTTCTAGCATCAAGAAGAGGAGGTCGAAATTTAGAATCTCTTGCTCTGCCTCTTCCTACATGTCTTGACCAAGATTCTTGAGCTCATCCATGAAACAATATGAAAAGCAAACATTGTTTGAACACTTAACTATTATAGGCACTATTCTCAGTACTTTATGTGTTTATGAAAATAATTCTCCTAATAACCCCAAAATATATTTACTTTTATAATCCCCATTTTAAACATGAGAAAATGGAGGCACAGAGAGGTTGAGTAACTTGTTCAAGTTCACACATCCAGCAAACAGAGTTCAAATGCAAGTATTTTGGTGCCAGAAGTTTCATTCTCAACTACTTTGTGATACTGCCTCTCTGAAGGGGACAAAAAGCATTGGTGAAAGTGAAATAAGTCAGGTATCTAAAATCTTTTTAGACATTGAAATTGTTTGAGTGTGAGTACTATTATTAGCCCTCCCCACCTCCTATATCTCTGCTATTGGCAGAAATAAAAATATGCATCCAGAGATGCCTAGAAGGGAACAGAACTCACCCAGGTGGCGCATGCAGATGGAGAAGGGGCTGCCCCTTTTGCCAAAGAGTGAAGAGAGATTCGAGTGCTGTTCACCATTGTGCTCTTGGTATTTAGCCCATGCCCAACATGCAGTAGGGCATCAGGTAATAGTCACTAAATAAGTCTGAGTTTGGATCCTTGCTCTTTCTTGGTGAGTTAATGAAGTTTTCTAAGCTCCATGTTCCTTTCATTTCAGAATTACGAGGTTGGGTAACGACTTCAGTGGTCCTGAGACCTAAATCTAGATAAACGTAGATTTTGAATAACGGATGATAATTGCTGATATTGTTATTCTAGGCCAGTGGCCAACAATCTTTTCCTGTAAATGACCAGGTAAAAAATATTTTAGACTTTGTGGAGTAGACTGTCCCTGTCACAGAAACTCAATGCTGCCATTGTAGTGTGAACAGCCATAGACAATTCATAAACAAGTAGGCATGGCTGTGCTCCAATAAAACTTTATTTACAAAAAGAGGTGGTAGACGGGATGTGGCCCTTGGTTTGTAGTTTGCTGACCTCTGTATTCTATGGTCTAAGCAGTGAGAATCTGAAAGGTGCTAAGCCACATTAACAGACTGAAAATGTTCTTAAACTTTCTAGACAAAGCTCATCTCTTCATTCCTTTCCAGTGTTAAGGATGAGCAATACTTTCCTGGCAGGGGAATCTGTGTTCTCCAAGTGTATGCTTGTTTGTAATATTTCTTTAACAGGTGTGAGTGGTGAGAACCCTTCCTCCACATATTTTCCTTCTAACTTCTTGTTTCCTGGTAACTGTGCACCTTCTCCACATACCTCTAGAGCTAGCCAGTGGTGAGAACACAAAGAATTTGGGAGGTCGGACCTTTGCTTGACTCCCAAATAGAACCTTAGTAATATGGTATATTTATCTAGAATAAGTGGTGTCCTGAAAAATATATTAAAAAGATGGTGATTTAAAAAAAAATGTGGTAGTGCCTTGGAAAAAGAACAACGTGAAATATTATATTTTATATGTTAAAGAGAATGAGCCAAATGTGCTTTGGGGTATACAGAGAGAGAGAACATCAGTAGTTTTTCAGTGTTTACTGTTTCTCAATTATCTAAGAGGGGCCTGAGACACCACAAGTTGATGGTTCATCCAGAACCACAGGGGATGGGTAACTGTGGCTCCCCATGGGAACATCAGGGGGCTCTTAAAACAAGAAGGGGGAAGAATGAGACTTAAACACTGCATTTGGTTCTGGTAAATATGAGGTGGCTCTCCAACCTTACTCTTTTGAGCATCTGTTTTCTCTCCTATGCTGATGAAAATAATGTGAAAAGCACTTTGCTCATTGCCTGGCACAAGCTAGATCTAGAATAAGTGGAAACTGTAAGTTTTCATTTGGTTTGTTGATATTATTAATGAAATCTGACACTTCTTAAATCTTAACAAACATTAGGCCTATCTGAGCTGATCACATACTTACTGGACTCCGATGCATGTCACCTTTCGATGTCATTGGCAACCCACATCCTGTCCATCCTTCTGTTTGTTCTTCCATTCTTCAAGGTTCAGCAATGTTTCTCCTCATGGCTGCATTATGGCTGCATCACCCCCATGCATTCTGTATTCTCAGAACATCATCTCCTACAAGAAGAAAGGGGAAGAGGTGGCAAAAGGGCCTCTTCTCCTATGCTTGTCTTTCTATTTGGGAGGAGAGTATTTCCAAGAAGACCCCTTTCAGACTTTCCCTTACATGCCATTGACCAGAAGTGTGTCACATATCCAGCTGTAAACAAATGGCTGGCAAAGTGAGTAGGTAACTACGGTTGGCTGAGAAGACTCAGGATTCAGCCATGGGACCAAAACAAGGAAGGAGGGCGAGTAGCCAGTGTAGCACAGGGCCTGATGAAAAGGGTACTTCCTTTCTCAATCCCTCCCTTTTCCTTGAGAAACACGTATGTTGTTTTCAGCAGTTCCTAACAGAGTGCCTGGCCGAAAATGGCACTCCATATATATTTTTGGTGGATAAATAATGACTAAATAAGTAATGAATAGAATTTTCTTCTTTTTGTCTTTTTTTTTTTTTCACCTAGACCTCTGGTTTCCGCTTTTCTGAGTCTGGGTTAGGCAGCCATGGTATTCTTCCAGTCTGAAGATGACTTTCTAAATTTGCTAACATGGGAAGGATTGAATACGGCCTGTCACACTGTCCACATTCATCCTTTGATATAAGTTGGCCAGTGTGGTCAAAGACAGGCCAGCGTGGGTGAGGCTGATGGCATACTCAAGGGCTGCATGCACAGACGTGACCAAGCCCTTTGTAAGCAAGATTGGAAGTCGAGATACGCCTGTTCCCTTTAATCATCTCTTTGGGCAGTTTCCTATCACTTTTCAAGCTCCCCCATTAGAATGTCAGCAAAATAACAGGGATCTGCAGAAAAAAAATATTAAGAGAAATGATTTGAAATGCACTAAGCACTTTGGAAGCATTAGTTGTCAAACCTTTAACGAGATAATTATAAATGCCCTTTACTTAGTGCATAGCTCAAATGATCTACAACACATTTTTAGGTATCACTTTGTTGATCTAGTTTGAATGAAGCACTGGAAAACATTTCTTTACATAAGTGGTTATTCTGGATTATTTGTGGCTTCAGTCCTGTTTACCCCCATTGCGAGGCCAAAATGAGAATTTTTGTGCTCATATCTGGAATGCTCAGGGGAATAAGATAGAATGGCAGAGTGGTTGTCTAATCTGACTTGAATCTGTTCGCTATCACTTATTAGTGTGACACATTGGGCAAATGGCTTAATGTCTCCAACCTCAGTGTCCTCATCTGCAAAACTGGGCAATACTCGAGGGTGGTTCTGGCATGGTGCATGGCACATTGTAAGGGTGAAATAAATGCTATCTTGAATTGCTTTTGACATGTTATATTCTTCAGTTTATCACTGAAACATACTTTTTATAAAGACAACTGTAGTTGTCACCTTTGAAATATAGATTATGCCATGTGGCTATCCCAATGTCAGCCCATCCAACAACAGTTCACCAATGTTGTAAGGAGGTTTCTAAAGCCTTGGAATGGCCCTGGGCACTTGGATTATATTAAGCAACTGATGAGGCCTCATGCCACAGAAAACTTTGACCCAACAATTAAGGTGGTTTAAAAACACTCAAGAAATAGGTCTTTCTTTGCTATGCAAAAATTAGTTTCTTTAATTTAAATGGACTGATTATGTTACTCAAAATTGTCACTTCAGGTTTTTTGAATTGATTGTGTCCTGCAGTTGGTGTGAAACATGAAATCATATAACGCTGCAGCGTGAAGTGCCTATAAAGCCAGGAGCTGGGCAGTGTTGGTTCACCATACCTGTTCACTAACATCGTGGCACTTCACACAGGTCATCTCACTGTGCTGGGACTCAGCTTTCTGATCTCTGAAGGGAGCAGTCATTCATGTTGTTGAGCTGGTTATTCCAGAGTAAAAGATAAAAATATTTCATCATAGCAATTATTGTTTGCTGTGGTATTTGAGGAGTTTTTTCAGAAATCAGAAATTTCTTGGGCAAAGGGTATGAGAATTGTTGTTTTTCTATGATCAATTATTTCCAACTCTCTGAAGCTGCGTTAAAAAAACAAAAAACAAAACACTGTGATTATCTGAAAGTCTGAATGAACTAATGTGGAAGTTTGGGCCCTCTGAGAAGCACACAGAGAGGGTAGGATTAACTGTGAAGGAAATTTATTGGAGGAAACACCTGTGAAGAAAAAGAGAGGAAGTAGGAAAAGGCAGGGAGGCTTCAGACCTGCTGCGGGTCTCACATCTGTGAAAGGAGAGGAGGAGGAAAAAAAATTTAGTGGCAGAGTCTCAGACTGTAGTACAGCTCTAAATTCTAGTATTTGGCATGATCAGAGGGAGTTCTTGAGCCTGTCTGAATACTTTCATGCCTTAAAACAGAGATTCCCAGTCCCCGGGGCATGGACCTCTACTGGTCTGTGTCCTGTTAGGAACTGGTACGCAGAGCAGGAAGTGAGTGGTGGCCCAGCCATTGAAGCTTCATCTGTATTTATAGCTGCTCCCCATTGCTTGCATTACTTCCTGAGCTCCACCCTCTGTCCTATTAGCAGTGGCATTAGATTCTCATAAGAGTTCTCTATTGTGAGCTGCTCATGTGAGGGCTCTAGGTTGCTTGTTCCTTATGAGAATCTAATGCCTTATGATCTGTCCCTGTTTCCCGTTACTCCCAGATGGGATCGTCTAGTTCTAGGAAAACATGCCCAGGGCTCCCACTGATTCTACATTATGGTGAGTTGTATAGTTATTTCATTATACATTACAATGTAGTAATAATATTAATAGAAATAAAGCACACAATAAATGTAATGCAATTGAATCATCTCAAAACCATCCCCCCGGATCCCATGTGTCTATGGAAAATTTGTCTTCCATGAAACTGGTCCCTGATGCCAAAAAGGCTAGGGACGGCTGCCTTAAGAAACGGGTCCAGACCAGTCTCCTTGTGGTGTTTAGTCACTGGCTGGGGGCTGCCTAGGGGAGGTGTGGCATGACATGAACACAGCAGATACCAGTAGCTGGGGCATTCAGTCATCTTCTCATGGCAGGAGACCTGAGCAGTATATTGTCATGGCCAGCCCCTAAATTTCCCGAAGTTTTCTGTTTGGAACACAGACTTTAATGAGTTTGAAAAAACCTAGAACATCTGTGATAATAAAGAGTTATTCACCCAAAATCAATGTTTCATTCCTTCCTTTGATTTTCACTTCCTCCTCTGTTTCAGCTAGACCAACCATGTTAAAAACCCCACCCAAGTTTGTAGAGTTCCTCATTTCACATTTTTAAAAAAGAAAATCTGTATGTGAATAAGCCACTTGTACTTCCTTTGTTTTACATGCTCAGGGAGTTATGATTTATTTTCTTGAGTTTCACAGAAAACCTGTGAAACTCAGCTCTCTGGTGGCAAGGTCTTTGTTTTGGGATGATGCCATGTAATAGAAAAATCATACATTTTGTTCCATGAGCAGACACAAATAGCTGTATGACCTTGGGCAAATTATACACCTCTCTGAGCCTAGGTTAACCCTTTTGTCTAATGAAGCTAATAATAGTATCTACCTCGCTGAGATGTTACAAATATTAGGAGAGATAATAAATGCAAAGTTCTCAACACAGTGCTGGCACACTGTAGGCATTTAATAAATGCTGGATGAATGGATAAACCTGAAGACTAGAGGCACACAGGCCTTTGTTCCTTTTCCTGCCTTCTTGCAGTGTTCCTACCCCTATGCAGTCAGAGGATTTAGATGAAAACAGGTGGATGGATAACAGACTAGAACCATAGCAACAAGCAAGCCATTCTTGAGCATTGATTGCATACAGTCACTGGGTTAAACCCTGCAGGACAAGAGGAGGGGACTGAGGCAGTGTCTGTCCTTGGAGAGGTTGCATTTCCCCATGGCATTAGGCATTCAAAGATATAATGACTGGGGACATAGGATGGGGAACAGGGTGATGGAAGGTGTGGTTGAAGGCTAAGGGTGGCAGCTTGGGAGATGGTAGAAAGTCTAATGTAAGGAGACAGAAAAGATGTAGCTGGAGAGTTGTCTTGGGATCAAACCGCTGAGGGTTCTGAAAGCCAAGTTGAGGAAACTGGACTTAATTCTGTAGATAGGAGGAAGTCAGTACAGGCTCTAGAAAAGAGACTTGAAATTCACTGAGAAATGGCATGTCTGAACAACCTCGAGGCAAGAGGTTGCCCTGGGTGGGTTGGGTCAAACACCGTTGTCAATAAATGAGGGTTATAATGTCGTTATTTTTCTTTTCAATATAGGGGCAATCTCTAATAATGGACCATTGAGGGCTAGCATGTTGCTCTTCCCTGTGAGGAAAAACACTAGGAGTGGAAGTTTTAATCTTTGTTATAAATGAGCTTGCTTTAGCAGAGGGGAGAAGAATCACAGTGGCCTGCTAAGTCATATTTGTTCAATCAGTGGCATTTGTTCTGAGCTCCTACCATGAGTCAGGTCCTGTGCCAATGGCTGGGGTGTAAAAGCAGGCACATTGCCTGCTCTCAATGGGCTTTGTGTTCTACTGGGATAGCAGAACAAGTAAGTGACTGCAGTAGTACACGACTAAGGGCCAAAAGGGATGGGACAGACAGGGAGTGATTTGAGAATTTGCTAGGAGAAAGAGAATAATCGGAGTTAAAATAGTGGAGCAAGACTTGTCAGAGGGAACGAGACCTCAACTCGGTTTAGATTTATTTATTTTTAATAAATAATAATTGTAAATATTTGGGGATATGTGTGATATTTTGATACCCACATACAATGTTTAGTAATCAAATCATGGAAATTAGGATATCCATCGCCTCAAAAGCTGATCTTTTCTTTGTATTGGGAATGTTATAATTCTTCTCTTTTAGTTACATTTTGAAATAGATAATAAATTAGTGATAATTATAAGTTCCCTTCTGTACTATCAAATACTAGAACTAATTTCTTCCATCTAACAGTATTTTATTTTTTTAACCTTTAACCAATTTCTCTTTGGGGGGAGTTGAAGCTTGGACGTATAGTATATAAAGAATAAGAGTATACCCGTTGGAGTCTGACTGGGTGGTATAGACGGTGAATCCACTTCCTAGCTGTGCTCACTAGAGCATGTTATCCTCTGTGCCCCAGCCTCCTCACCTGTAAAATGGAAACACTGGTGGAAACACACATGTAGGGTTGTTAAGTAGACAGAGCATGGGTCAGAAATTCTTTTCTGTAAAGGGCCAGGTAACAAATATGTTAGGCTTTGCAGGCCATTTAGTCTCTTTGTCGACTTCCCAATTCTGTCACCACAGTGGAAGGCAGCTGTAGACCACTGGTTAACAAACAAGTGGCTATATTCCAAGAAACGTTATTTACAGACACCAAAATTTGATTTATATCCTTTTCATGCGTCACAATCTATTATTATTGTTTTGATTTTTTTTCAATCATTTAGAAATGTAAAACCTTGCCGGACACGGTGGCTTATGCCTGTAGTCCCATCACATTGGGAGGCCAAGGTGGGTGGATCACTTGAGGTCAGGAGTTTCAGACCAACATGGTGAAACCCTATCTCTGCTAAAAATACACAAAATTAGCCAGGTGTAGTAGTGCATGGCTGCAATCCCAGCTACTTGGGAGGCTGAGACAGGAGAATCCCTTGAACCCAGGTGGAGGAGGTTGTAGTGAGCTGAGATTGTTCCATTGCACTCCAGCCTGGGCAACAAGAGTGAAAATCCACCTCAAAATAATAATAATAATAATAATAATGTAAAAACCATTCTTAGCTCTCTGGCCATACAAAAATTAGTGGCATGCTTGATTTTGTTTACAAACCATAGTTTCCAGCCCCAGTGATAGAGTAACAAGCTCCAAATGTCATCTGTCATTATTTTTAACCTTTTTAGATGGGAAAATGGAGATTAGAGAATTCATACAAGACTCCAAAAAGGAATTTCTGCCATGTGGGCGTCTCATCAATTATCTTCTATCAGCTATAGATATGTACAAGGGAAGCACAAAGGATTCTGTAAAAGACTGATTTCTTTTGCTAGCATAAGTAATGCATCTGAATTTTAAAGCAGCCTCATCTTCCATGTAAAGCTTTATTTAACAGAATATTTAATGTGATAGGATTATGCTCTACGAGACCCAAATGAAGAGTTCTGCCCAGCTAAGAGGGAAGCACTGCAGCAACACAGGGCACCAGCTCTGAGTCTCTTCCTGTATTAGGATTGTTCTTGCATTGCTGTAAAGAAATACCTAAGACTAGGTAATTTACAAAGAAAAGAGATTTAATTAGCTCCCGGTCTGCAAACTATACAGAAGCATGATGCTGGCATCTGCTTGGCTTCTGGGGAAGCCTCAGGAAACTTACAGTTATGATGGAAGGTGAACAGGCAGTAGGCATGTCACATGGCAAAAGTAAGAGCCAGAGGGTGCAAGGGGAGAGGTGCTACACACTTTCAAATGCCCAGATCTCACAAGAACTCATCACTATCATGAGGACAGTACAAAGGAGGATGGTGCTAAACTATTCATGAGAAATCTGTCCCCATGAGTCAATTACCTTCCACCTGTCCCCACCTTCAATAATGGGGATTACATTTTAATATGAGATTGAGCAGGGGACACACATCCAAACTATACCACATCCTCAACTCAAATTTCTCCCCACTGATCAACCCTCTTTACATATGATT